TCCCTGGACGCACGATTGTGAGAGTGATTGTTTTCTTAACCAGAAGTAATCATATCACATACGATTACATGTGGTGTGCCGGCGTTTACATGCAGCGGCGGTCACCCAATCATTAATTTGAACGGGTGACAGCTGCAGGAAAAGGCAAGTCCCTGGTGCAGGAATCCCTAATCGCACTTAAACTTACAGGTGTGAATAGGACCTTATTGTGTGGGTGGGTGTGCATATTTCTGTGTGTGTACATACTTCTGTGTGTGTACATACTTCTGTGTGTGAATGAATGTGTGAATCTGTAGTCTGTCCTCTATGATTAAAATTAAAACCTGTGTGGGAAAAAACACACACATATACTGACACTGCATACATACACATGTATACATGCTAATATGACAAACAGAAACATTAACACACACACACACATCACTTACAGAAATCCTGACAATGCACACACACACAAACCATCACAAAACAATTATACTGACATTGCATATAAAGAAGCCATCACAAACACATATACTGACATTATAAACACATGCAGACATTAACACTGGTACCGTATATAGTTACGTTTTGCTTTGAAGTATGACATTTTATGTAATTTGGCAAGGGGCCCCCATGGGAGAACAGAGGCTGCCAAATGATTTGAGTTTGAGACTCCTGAATTATGCAATGGAAACACACCCCTGTCATGCCCCCAGTTATATATAAGCAATAGATACACCCCGACATGCCCCTATTTATATAAAGGTAATGGACACACACCAGGCATGCCCCCAGTTATATATAGGTAATGGGTAATGAACACACCCCTGTCATGCCCCCAGTTATATATAAGCAATAGACACACCCCTGTCATGCCCCTATTTAGATACAGGTAAATGACACACCCCTGTCATGCCCCCAGTTATATATGGGCAATGGGTCCACCCCTGGCAACTGAGGAGGAACAACTGAGGATGGAAGGGGAACAGAAGGATGTAGTTCCAATAGAGGGTCAGTCCCTCCAAATAAGGAACAGTTAAGCGGTGTGGCTTAGCTTTCCCCCAGCTTTGGCACTCTGAAGTCAGCGGAATGCTATTAAATGAATGGATATTGTAAAAAATAAGAAAATAAATGGGAAAAGAGCCAGGCCATGTAACCTATTAAATTCACATGGCTAGCTTTTCTCCAATCACATAGTTCTCTCTACTGTGTTAAAAATATTTAGTACTTTTTAAAATGAATATATATTTCTAATGTGTGTGAATTACTTCTTCAGTGCTATGGAAATCTCTGCTTTACTTCTCACACGATCATCTTGTTTTCCGTGACAAAACGACTCGTGACCGTGCCCCTGCCGTTGTCTCGATTAAATATAGTAAACATAAACAGCACTAAGAAAAGAATGCAGCTGACGCCACAAATTACAGCGCACAAACAATTAACTGGCTGCAACAAAGAGAGAGAAAAAAAATAAAAGGCAATTTCTCAGAACACTTAACAACTAGGTTCTTATTTTAAAAGCATGTTACATGCTAAGTGGTGACAGTAACCTCCATGCTTTCAAAGAAAACGTGTAATTTTTAAAGTCACACATTGTTAAAATAGTACTGCTATTAAGGACTTTGTGTGATGAATCCAAAAACAGAATACTGCTGGTAACCTTCGCTTGCGTTGTACTTTGGTGGCATACCGCATTATACTTACCTATATGCTTTACGGAAAAAGACACGTTCCCCTTTCAAATAGTTTATCATAGTATATTTCATTCATGACCTCATGGTTTTTCCTTTTCCTAGCTAATGAAAATGTAATCCTTTTGTATATGTTGATTTAAAAACTATATTATAATATAATGCACAATGCCTGTCTAAATGTGAGAAAAGAAAGTATGTAATACTCCTGATATTGCCATGTTTTATAAAATTCGATGGTGTACAGCTACAAGCAATCTCCTCTGAGAAGATTTATCCTCTCAATTTGTCCTAGTGACCATTGTCACTGACCCAAAAAGTGATGGGAAATCAAAAGTTATCATCAGAGTACAAATAATCCAAAAATGAACATCTGTCCCCATGACAACTGTCTAAAAGGGTATTTCCCTTAACCTTGGAAAGACTTCCACACACTTTCTCTTGTTTCTCCAAGACATAAGGTGAGGAGAAATCTCCGGAATGGAGCACAGACACACAGACACAAAAAAAGCCCTGGGCGTAAAACCATTCTTCACGTCAGGGGTAGGCAACCTCAACACTCTAGCTGTGGTGAAGCTACAAATCCCATGAGGCAGTGCAAGACTCTGACAGCCACCGATATGACTCCCAGGGGCATGATGGTATTTGCAGTTTGACCACAGCTGCAGAGCCATGGTTGCCTACTCCTGCTTTACTCCCTTCAAAACTAGAAAAGAAACATGTGATACAATTTAAATGCGTATGAAATATGTTCCCTAAGATGCATCTATACATGCAGAGACTCTATCACAAAGAATCAAAAGCCATCTCCATCCATTACTGTTACTTCTTTTTTGTGTAGTTGCTGGCAACTTAAATCAAATGTTTCCTTTTTTATATATCTTGTGAAGTGGCAAGTTACTCCAACTGGTACAGGCATTACAGTCATATTACACTGCCTTGATTTACTATAAAATAGTAAAATAATCAAATAACTGAGGCATCCAGAAGACATCTAGATGGGAGAGAATGTATTTCAGTATGGTTTTACTGAGGGCCAGTACACACCATAGCTGTGCACTAAACACACAATACAGTGCATTTGACAAACACTATCACACAGCGCACCTAGCGTGCGCTACCATGCGCTAGGTGTGTGGCATTGCCATTAATTTGACCTTCCTGCAACCGTGCATTACTTATTTTTACCGCACCACAAAGCAAGGTATTGCAGAACGTGCAATGGGAGGTGCACTGGGATGCATTCAGATGAATGGCAATGCACCTAGTTGATGGTACCGTGCACTATGTTCAGTGTGCGATAATGTACTCTAAATGCACGGCATGGTTAGTTTAGTGCAGTACTTAAGTCTGAACCTTCATGGTAGCTGACATAGGCAGCTTCAGAGAAATCTAGCCATTATGGTCTCCAAAAACCTAGTGAATGCCTTTTCTAATTTTAGAGAGATTGCACTGTTTCCAGGGTATCATTAGTAACTCAGTGATTGATTTCACTTGTTACCTAGAACTGATCTTTAACGCAGAACTACAGACAATGTAAATGTACTTAAAGTTTAGATATAGCCAAAACCTTTTTAGTTTAGGATAGAATAGAGAAGGGTTAGGTCAGTTTATTTTTTGTTGTCAACTCCAGGTAGCTGGAGAAAATCTTCCAAAATTAGGGGGATAAACCTAAAATTATGCATTTCCCATCACTTTCTTTCTTGGTGACAATAGTCATCAGCACAAATAAAGGGGAGAATCTCCCCAATGGGGACACAGATAAAACAAAATGCTTGGGGGTCTAATCCAGCCTTTCTTAACCTGTTCAATACACATATCTGTAAAAAAAATAGGTCAGGGCAACTGGACTTGCTGAATTTTTCTTGAAGACGTTTCACTAGTCATCCAACCAGCTTGAAACGTCTTCAAGAAAAATACAGCAAGTCCAGTTGCCTTGACTTATTTTTTACAGATATACCATGACCTGGATAAATGAGAACCTTCACAGACATATTTTTCAATACACAGGAACCCTTGGAATAGCTTTCAGGTCTCGGGGAAACACTGCTTAATATCTACTGCTCACAATACATGCACAGCATGAACAATATATTGACATGAAAAATAAAAGAATAAGGAAGGTGGCTTAGTTAGCGAAGTGGACACCCTGGGTTTTTTTATATGATTACATTGTTTTTAAATATAACAAATAGTAAAGTTATTGAAAATGATACTGTTCCCTCATTTTGGTTATTAATTAAGAAACCCTTAGATTGTTGGTCAGTGGGAGTAGGACACTCTAACATTAATTGTAGTTGGAAATGCCTTACCCTGGTTGTCAGTGGATAAAGGACCCCATTACACTGGTGGTCAGTGGGATGGTCAGTGGGAAGAATGCATCTTACATTGGTGGTAATTGGCAAAAATATAATTTACTCTGGTGGCAAGTAGGACGATTGCTCCTTATATTGGTTTTCAGGAGGACGAATGCAGCCCTTACAGTTGAAAAAGATCAGTGGTCAGTGTCAGTGGTTACTTATCTGAGAAATTGCTCATTGCTTAAGGAACTCCTAGCAACCTCTTAAGGAACCATTGATGAGAAAGGCTGGTCTAACCCTTCACACCCTTCCTATAAAAATGGTTTAACTTAGAGATTCACTTTAATCTCAGTTTGGATACTGTTTATATCTGATTGCAATCCACAGCAATACCAGCAATAAAAGATTAACACATTAGGCTTTTCCTAATAATGGCAATTTAACAAAGCAGCTTTCTGTTTAGTGGGGGTACAATAACAGCTAGATTTTTGGATGGTGGGAAATAGAGTTTGGCAGTTATGTACCCCATGCCTGTTCACCACACAAGACATACAGAATATTGACAGGGGCTGTACTTCTGGAATTACTGTAGCTGGCACATTACGAAAAAGCCATTTTTGATAATACAAGCACCACCAAAAATTATTCCTACAGTCTCCTCTTATAGTCATATATTGAAAACCTTTGCAGTTGTCCCCATTTACCATTTATAGTCATAGTAAAATTGCTTCTTCCATCCTGCAAATAACCACATATTTGAAACATCCAATAAGTTGATGGTTGTGTCCATCCACGGGCTGGATCTTCTCATTTACACTAGAAGTTAAAATGACAGTATACATCTGTATCGCTAATGTTTTGTTTTGTGTAACCTAAAAAGAAAAACTTAACTAAATAAAGAATTTACAAAAAAGAAGTTAAAATGACGCATTTTAATTATCAGGTGATGCAATCAATTGCTTTGCATATCACAACAAACACTAAAAATCTGTACTATTCTATTTCTTTTTAGGCACATCACACATCAATGAAGAATATCCTTTTATGTGTTTGCCTTATTAGCCTGGTCTTAGGCTATCCTGTAAGTTGAATTTATAAATAAAATAGAAATAGGTATATCTATAATCTTTCTGCACAAACTGTACTTAACCAAAATATTTTTGTACAGGTTCCTGACTCTCAATCTGACAGCTCACAGAATGTGGAGGTGAGTTAACATTCGAAACACTACAAAATTTTGTTTGGGGATTTATTTCTGCTTGTCAACACATAAAATTTGCTATTCCTTATTTCCAACTTCTCATCCCTTGCCAGTGCCCATTATAACCCATTTAAGTCTACTTGGTCACTGACTTTTTCAGGAATCATTACCTTAACTGATGGTAATGATTATGGTTATGACTTTATGCAGTCCTGCTCTTGACACACCTAGATGAAACCCTTTTGACACATTCCACAGTTTGTTTCATGTTGTGTCCACCTGACAAGCTTCACCCTTTGTTTTGTGTTATGTGTGGAGGAAATTGTTGTGTGATTTCTGAGACCTTAGCATCATAAGGCAAAATATACATTTATTGTACTTTAACAAACTTTACTGGATACATGCAATAATCTCAATATTCAGAATTAAAGTGGCCCAGCTGCAATAAAAAAACATACCAATAGCCATCTTACCTGTAAAATAAAGGAAAATTAATACCTTTCCTGCTGCCCATGCTGCCAATTACAGCTCTGATCCAGAGAAATCATTGCCTGAAGCCTGCTGGAAATTAATATTTCTGGGATTGTTGGTCTCCTTGGTCCCCTATAGCTCTCACTGGTTCCTGCCTCTGCCCTTAACTTTACTACTATGCCCTGAAGAGACGTGGAGATCCGCAGAAGAAACCACAGAGCACTGTGGGGGACCCAAGAAATCGACTCTCCTGGAAGTGTTAAGTTCTCAGTGACATATGAGAGGAAATCTCTTTATAGTAGGGATGCACCGATACTTTTCAGATTCCAGTGCCTATACTTGTTTTTTTCATGAGAACTACCAGGGTTGCTGCGGGTGCAGCTGGGTCCTGGCTCTGGCGCTCCACCATTGTCCTGAAATCATTAGTCGGTATTGTTTTAGAAAAACTGTCACATGACAATAAACAACAATTTATCAGTACTTGTATTTGTAAGTACTTGGGCAAGTATCAGTACTTGTACTTGTAAAACTGGTATCAGTGCATCCCTTTATTTATATTTATAAAAACAAAATCATACATTAAAACAGAGATGTAAAAATCCCAGGAGCTCCGTGTGCTCCTTACAAATGGCAGCTGCCTCCTAACTTTTGAAGTACAGATATACTGGAAAAGTATCTGTACTTGTACTTGTACCGAGTACAGTACTTGGTATCGGTGCATCCCTACTTTAAAGTAAAGGGAAATCCTGTCCTCGAGAGTAGTACCCAGAACAAGTGTCCCCAATAGAAATCTTCCTCTCACCTCTGGTGACAACTTAAAATTATGGATTCTCCATTTCTTTTAGTCCTGGTGACACTGGTCATTCAGCAGACAAATGGAGGGAGTGTATCTCCTCAAATGGGAAAGAAGCAACAATAATAAACTGATAGATGTCCTAATGCTTTCCCACTCTATTTAAAACTAAATGTCTTGGTATGAGATACACTTTAATTACTTATAATTGTGCATACTTATGTATAAAAAGTTTATATTTAACCTCTTATTTAGTTTTACATAAACAGTTATAATAATTTAGGATTGTACCGTATATTTACAGTTTTGCATGGGCACAATTGGAAATATTTCCCTTAAATGTAGTCTAAATGTAAAACTGTCTGAATTTAAAAAAAACTTTGCAAAGTGAGAAGACGATTGAAGTCCAGGCACATAGAAGTGAAAGTGTTGAAGCTTAAAGATTTGATTACTGGTGTCCTATATACCTATTTTAAACTTGTGAAGGCATGTGCAAGCACCCTTAACTGCCTGCACTTTAAATATTTGCTCACTTTACTAATTTAATATCCAAACAAGCAAAAAAGCATAATTGTGCATCTTTATGATTTTTAGCAACTAAATGTAGAATAGGAGAAATCACATCTCGGCGAGAACACTTGTAATTAGACTGCCGGGCCGTCCCCCCGCCTCACGCCTCCCTCCCCTGCACTTACCTCTCTCCATGCTGCGTTCTCCCGGCTCCGGCTCCTGGCTCTGTCCTTGCCGCCGTCTTCAGTATGGAGAGCGGTAAGCAGAGCGGCAGGGTTGAAAGTAACCCTGCCCTTAGTGTAGACAGTGAGAGGGGAGAGCTGTGCTCCTCCTCTCTCACCTGTCACAAGAGTTCCAGCACAGTGCTGTGCTAGAACTCCTGTATTGGAGGTGACAGGTTCAATAAAGAGAACCTGTCACCTCCAAATGCTATCACACAGTGACTTGTTAGCTCCTGTGTGATAGCAATAAAGTTAGGTGAAAAAAATTTGATAAAAAAATGATTACATAAATAAAAGTAAAAATAATAAGTAATAATAATTACATTATTAAAAAATAAAGTAATAAATAAAAGTAAAAAATTGTAAGAAAAATATAAAAAAA